GTTACGACGGCCGCGAGGGACACAACGGGACGGGGCGCACGGCGCTGCTCAGCGGCTCCCCCCAGCGCCGGGCGGTGGGAATGCAAGGGCGGCCCCGCGGGCGCTCCCTCCTGCCCTTGTCTTCCGAAACCCCCGACCTGCAGGGCCGGGCCCTGGGAGCTGGACCGGACCCATATTTTATTTTATTTTATTTTATTTTATTAAAGGAATTGTTCCTGTTCCCAGCCAAATCAAGTCCAAATCCGTGAGTCACTCCAGAACCATAAGTGGCTCTACTAGAACTGGCAACCATCCTCCACCCCCATCAGGGGCGTCAGATATTTCCAAATTCTTTGGCGGGTATCCTAGTGCAGGCTCAAGCCTGGAGCCTGGGGGGGGTGGATGCCCCCGAGTTTCGCCTGCCCTCGGCCATGTGGCCGCAGGAGCAAGCTAGGGAGAAGCTTCCCTTTTCCATAAAACGGGCATTAAGCCTCAACACGTTGGCGGGTACTAAACCACACGGTCAGAAAAAGTTACCCCCAGGGAGGCTTAAGGAAAACTGCCTTCTTGGACCCAGATACATGGCGTTTCCCCTGCTGGGTAAGTATGGCCCAGTCCCATGTGTCGGTCTGGGGGTCTGATGTGGCCGCAGGCCGGGCTCCCTGCGCTGCCTGACCCAGCAGGCAGGACGGGCTGGCTCGGCGCTGCATGGAGGATGGGACCTGTGCGTGCGGCTGGCCCGGCCCTGCGCGCTGCAATCGTCTGTACTTGCACAGTACAAAGTCTAGAGCCCAGTGCATCTCCAGACCTTATCTAATGCTTATACTGCAAGAAGGAAAGTGACTCAGGAAACATGCAGGAAAATGCTACAAATATGCCATGTGCATATTAAGGCCGTGCCTCCCCAGCAGGCAAGTCCCACCCGGCTGGGGCCCCACCCAATTTACCCCTGCTCCTGCCTCTGTGGCACTGTCCCTTGCTGTGGGGACCTCAATCTAGCCCCTGTCCCTTCCCTCCCCCACAGACTGACCTGCTGGGCTGGGGAGCGCACATGCATGCATGGGGGCACTCAGTCCTCCACCCCATCCTTGGATCGACTCCAAGAGCCTTCAAGATCTACTCAGCTAGATAATCCAATCCTTGCATAAAGCACATGAGCATACCTGCAAGTTACCCCAAGGCTGGGTTTTATCACATGCCAACAGCTCTGCAGTAACTGCCCCTGTGTCTCCTCTTTCCTTAGGCTCAGCCCTCTTTCATGCCTGGCTCACCTGCTGTGGATTCTCTTGCACTTACTATGGACTAAGAGCGCACACATGTAGTTTCCGAGAAGCACCTGATGCAAGTGAATGCCTCACTCTCCTTTCCCCTCACAGAGGCTTGTCGGTGTTTCTGTGCCCTTGGGCTCAAATGAGAGAAGAGCAAGTTTATCCCAAAATGAAGCCGACTAAATGTTATAAACATGGAGCAGCTCAAGGGCATCGTCAACCTGCAAAGAATGACAGTACTGCCAAAAAGAGCACAAGGTTTATTCTCTCCGGGTCTGTAATTATGAAGCAGTTTGTTCTCCCAGTCCCCAATACCCAGCTACCACTCCTGCTCAGACAGGCAGTGCTTTTACTCTCTACCTTCAGTCAGATGCCCCATCTCACCTCTTTTCACTTCTCACCCAGATGCTGCAAACACAAGTGCCTGCTGAATCCACAGTCTGCTGGACCTCGGCCACAGAAGCACCTTCCTTAAATCATAGAGAAACAGAGAGAAGTTGGGCTGGAAGGGACCTCCAGGGGTCATCTAGTCCAGTCCAACCCCCTGCCTGAAATGGGATCATCCCTATCCAAACCATTCCATAAATACCATAATCTAAACTCGACATAAGACTACCATCAACCCGGACACAATACAGACCTAGCACCCTAATCGCCACGGGTAAAGCAGAGGAGCCAAGGCAGCCAACATCTTGTTCCTATGAGATTTTGTTAGTATATAACCAAGAGATTCTGGGTTGAGGGCCACGCCCTGGTTATAGAGGAAGGCAAAACCCCCACAGTCCAGACCAAACTGAACATGGGGTAAAATTCATTCTTAGCCCCAAATGTGGTGATTTGTCTGGCCCTGAGCAAGATGGGCAAAGCCTCCTAGCCAGGAACCTCTGGTTCCTTGCAGGAATATTGGCACACGCATCAACAACCCTGGTCTTAGCTGTAGCCAACATCCAATGTGTCTGAGGAAGGCTTAAACACACTGACGTGTAGCAGAACGGAGAAGGAAGGGGCAGGGGCAAACAGCAAAGCCCAGATGCATGGGAAATACCCACCAACCAGTGCTGCCCAATCGAACACCTCCAGTGATGGAGAGTCCACAACATCCCTGGCCAGTCAGTCTATTCTACTGCCTCCCTGTTCTAACAGCAAAGAAGTTTTTTCCAGCCATGCCCCCACTACAGAGGAAGGCACAAAACCACCACAGTCTGTACCAATCTGATCACAGGGTAAAATTCCTTCCTGACCCCAAATGTGGCAATCAGCCTGACCCTAAGCACAGAGGCAAGCCCCCCTAGCCAGGAACCTCCGGTCCTTTGGTCCCAGCAGGAGCACTGGCATACCCCAGTCAAAGTCCTCAGCTTTGGCTGTAGCCAGCATGCAACGTCTCTGAGTGCTTTTAAGTTTTCCTCCGATACATAGATTCATAGATGTTAGGGTCGGAAGGGACCTCAATAGATCATCAAGTCCGACCCCCTGCACAGGCAGGAAAGAGCGCTGGGTCTAGATGACCCCAGCTAGATGCCTATCTAACCTCCTCTTGAAGACCCCCAGGGTAGGGGAGAGCACCACCTCCCTTGGGAGCCCGTTGTAGCAGGGAGGGGGTAGAGGAATCAGCAAAGTCCATAAGCATGGGAAATACCCATAGTTCAACACAGGCATCGCTATGCCTAGATCGTCCCTGGCCAGTGGCTGCCCAGACTCTTCTTGAACACCTCCAGCGATGGAGTCTATTCCACCGCCTCGCTAGTCTAGCGGTGAAAACGTCTGTCTGGACATCCAATCTAAAATTGCTTTCCTGCAACATCAAGCCGTTAGTTCACGTCCTCCTCTCCGCAGCGAGAGAAAACGTGTGTTCCCTCTTGTCTATGGCAGCCCTTCAAAGATCTGAAGACCGCTATCCTCTCCCCTCTGAAACACATTTTCCTCAAGCTGAACAGGCGTCGCTCCTCCAGCCCCTCCTATGATATTGCTTTCCAAGCCCTTGACGATGCCCGTTGCCCCCTGCGGACCCTCATCCTCCAAGTGAGAACAACTGCTGCAGCAAAGACCAGAGCCCCCTCGTTATCATTTATGTCACGCAAGCGTCTCGTGCCTCAAACTGAACCCACACAAGAACAATGTGTGAGGCGCTGCCTGCCCGTTGGAGCCGACCATCCCTCTGCCGTGGCGTTATACCCAGGGCTCAAATTACACTTTGGCTCTCGTGGGGGAGGTCTGCAAACAAAAAAAAATGACACTGGTTCATTAATTAACAAGTCCACCTAAGTGAAGGAGCCATGCGATTGGAGACCCCCCAGGTTGTGATTTTAAAATCTTACAGGAGGGCTCTTATGGGAGGAGGGGGACTCAGCCCCCATAATTTGCACCCTGGTTGCCAGCA